TTGTCTATATAAGACTCAAACTCACGGCGGATCCAGACATTTGAATTGAGAAAGCTTCCTGGAGAGGTGGCGAAACGTCTTCAAATCTTGGAAACCAAGTCCAGTGGATATTTTTTGAATTTTTACGGAATAGCCTAACTGAGACTGCGCCGTTTAATACAGTGCGCCTTATGGTCCTAAAAAATACACAAGCCAGCCTCCTGAGGGGGGCAGCGATGCGCCCGAAGGCGCCTGGCCTGCATAAAATATTTATTTGATTGCGGCATTAAGTTAGCTGCTGTTTACTGCCTGCCAAAAAAAATAAATAAATAAAAAAGAAAGCAGGTTTTTGGTGGCAGCAGATTCAGCATCATGTCTGTTAGGAAGTTTGTTGGTGGTGGGCGTGAACGCAGGGAGGATCCATCACCCTCACCTTCTGGCTCACCCTATGATGGGAATGAAGTCTGGAGGAGAACTGATGGTTTCCTCCTGTGAACCTCCTTTATACCAAAACTCTGCCAATACGCCATTATACAGTAGCTGGAAGTTAGAAACACGTTCAGCGCTCGTCTGGAACACGTCAGATACCTTGATATGCGTTGCAGAGAAGTTCTTGGTAAGTTATGCAGAAGTTACTCAGAGGTTTTTGATAAGCTAGACGCCACAACTGATGAGTGACTTACACTTCAGGTAAGTCAATCATCAGATAACTGACCTGTAACGTATGGCCCATGTATGGCATACGCTGGCATACGTCGAGTCAGCGTACTCCCCGTATGTCGACGTGTTTCAGCTTTAGCATGCTCATAACTTATACAAAACTGACCCACGTACATCAGGCATATACTGGTCTGAATCGTCAAGGTGTGACGGGGTTTAGGTACAAATAAAAAATCTTCCTGTTGTGTTTTTGTAGGAAAAGTGGTAGGCAAAGACTGCACGGCTGGGTCAGGAACACGATGCATTCCCTGTGAGACTGGAACCTACATGAACAAACCCAACGGCCTGAACAGTTGTTTCTCCTGCTCCTCCTGTGATTCAGGTACAGAAGGTTTACAAAAAAAACACAAAAAAAAAACAGGACTTTAACTGCATCTGAATTAATGATAATGAGTGTTTTCATCTTCCAGGCTCTGGACTCTCTATCAAGCAGAACTGCACGTCTAAATCAGACACAGTCTGTGATGTTTTACACGGATATTTCTGTAAAAGCTGGACAGACAGTTCAGGATGCAGCACAGCAGCGAAACATTCAGCCTGTAAACCTGGACAGAGAATAAAACATCCTGGTGAGACTGACTCCATGAA